TAGAGGATCTTTTTGTTGATAGCAATAAACTTTATTGCCGATTTTGTAATATTAGTATTGGTTAGAAAAATAAATCTACTGTTACTATGCATATAAATTTAAAAGCTTATTAGAATTCCTGTCACTCTTATGTTACTGCTAATCGTAATGATCGTCAACAATCTTTTTATACTTCATTGGTGGTCGCCAATGAAAAAAAGCAAATAATTAATGATTTAGTGAAAGTCTGGATTGAAGCAGACATTTTATTTGAGAAGATAGATAAAGTGCGAAACTTTTTTAAAAAATATTGTAATGAGGGGGATCCATTCCTATTGCAGATAACATTCGAAAATATCATTTAGATAATATATTTGAGCAACATTGACAAAAAAGCTCGTAGTGTAGTTAATACACTTTTTAGCTATCGGGATCAAACAAAGTTAATTTCAGTTAACTTTTTATCTCAAGTTAATAATCTATGATGGGTCAATTGGTTTTTCAGATTTTAGTCGAGTAGGATATATCTTTTAATCATCTATACCTTATTATATCAGACTTGGCTTCTTACTTAAAAAAGTCTGTTCAAGAAGTTTTGTAGCCAGCAATGCCACAAGTTTGACACAATACATGTTGTGTATATATTATTTAATTAATAAGATTGGCATTTTATAAATTTATTTATATTTAATATTTGTTATAGATTTATAATATTAATTTTTAATTTATTAGTAAAGCTTGGACAAATATTTATCATTTTGATAGTGTGCACAAGTTAATTAATAATATTAAAAAGTCTATAATTTATGCTAAAGGAAGATGGTCTAGATATATGGATTACCTTCATCAATATGAAATTAAGGACAATTCGGATAATGATTTAAACTCTCAAAGTTCTTCACAATTAACTTTACATTTTATGTCTTTACCTAATATGATATGATGGAATTCGTGATTTAAAATGGTGATATATATTTACGATTATTTGAACTATATTCGGAGTTTCTATTGTGAAGAAAAGGAGCTAAATTCAAACAAAACAATTGAAAATATTGTTTTAGTTTTTAATGATAATAATGAAAATGGGTTAACAGAAATATACTTACCGTATAAGCGCGAAATAACGCGCAGGTGCATTATTTTGAATAATGGCCCGAATTAGACTTAATTTAAGCCAAAATTCGAAATTACACCCCTGTGCATTATTTCGCGCTTATATGGTAGCTTTTATTCGTTACCATTCACATCAGTTTATATTAGATACAGAGTTTTTTTAAAAAGAAAAAGAATTCTATTTTCCTTTAATTGAAGCATGAATTAAGCAACTTGAAGCTTTTCTTACTAAAGGAATAATTACAACAAATTTTGGTAACGAAATTAATAATATTCTTTCAAAATATAATACTGAATTATCTACTTTTATACCAGTTTTTTAAGCTGCATATAATTTTGTATTTCAAAAATTTTCTGCATATTTTCCTAATCATCCTTCTCGTTCACTTTTTAAGGCAGTTCATATTTTTGATCTGCATTATTTGAAAATATCTTTAGCAAACCATGATATTCAAAAATATAGTTTTAATATTTCACAGTTATTAAATCCATCTGTAGAACTTCTTCAAGAATAGTCTTTATACTGTAATTTAGATTTAAATGCAGTAGATTTTACAAATCTTCATAATTTTTGAGAAAAAATGGTAACCACTTTACCTCTTTTAAGTGAAATTGCATTTGATTATATATGGCTACCTATTTCTTCTAGTGCAGTAGAACGTAGTTTTTCAGTTTATAATAATCTTCTTAGTAATAAGAGACAAAATTTAAGTACAGAATCTCTTAAAAAGTTGAATATGATGTATTTCAATAATTTGAATTAATTTTTTTACAATAAATGCAATAAATTTACATTTTATATTAGTAAAATTTTTATCAAAATTTATCCCAAATATTTACGATTTTCAAAATAAATTTTTGTGAATAATAAAAACAATTTTTCCATGTCTCTGACTATGGGTAATATCACTAGCACCTGATTTTGGTCTTACCCCTCTACCCTAAAAAATCAGGTGATAAATGTCCCCACTCTAAGATAAGTAAGGTAGTTTATTATGTGAAAGAAAAATTTTAAATAGTAAAAATGATTAGTGAGTTTACCATTTCAGTCAAAAAACTTTTTTTCCCTGAACTACCTTTTTTTCTGCACTAACTTATCAAAACTTTATAAATATTAAAGTGAATAAAGTATTGTTCAAGTGTTTTCATACTTTTTATTATAGATTTTCATAATCGACACATTATTTGTAAAATTTTCGATAAACTATTTGGAATCATCTCAAGCAGTGATTGAAATCTTTATTTTGATCTATCATTGCAATTGAGCATCACTACAATTATTAGAAATCACAATAATAGTAATGTTTGAGCATATCTAAATAATATCGTCATTCGTATTATTGACTTTTATCCAAAATGTTTTAGATTTCTAATAAAGTGCAAGCAGTTAATCAATTAGGGTAATGACAGATATTACATAATATCCTGAGGGGGACACTTTGTTAGATATATAAATTTATAATAGCCAATCAAATTTCTCTTACACGGAGTGAGGATAGTAAAAAAATATTACGTAATACCCTTATGATAATTTATTTTAAGGTGATTAAGTCAAATTAATAATAATCGATTATAATCAAAATCGATTGAAAGCAAATTAAACCTGTTAATTAAATCGATTAAAGTCGACAGTTTCCATTTACTGGTATATCAATTACTTACAATATGGAGTGTATCAAGAAAGTATGGTTCAATATACTGTATATACTATAAACTTATATGTGAATTGTACTACTCTAACTCGTAACACGTAAAATGCGAGTTAAAGTAGTAGTTTAATATAGAAGACACATAAGTAGTGAATTGTTATCATTATGAGCCGATTTTGAAAAAAAAAAATCCACCGGTTAAGTCGAATTAGTTCTGACCAATTTTTCATAATTGGTCAGGATCACTAGTTATGCTGATTGCTTTTCCCTAAACAAATTGGTGAAGAAATGTTAAATAAGAACAAATAAAGTAAAGAATAGATATAATCTTACCTTTCGACGACGCAAACGTATCCAACGTCTTCGACGAACAAATGAACGGAGTGGTTTATAGCAACCTAGTTAAAAAAGAACAAATTATAATATGTTTCTATGTATATAATCAAAAGAATTAAGATATGTACCGTGCCAGCAAGAACAATGGAAATCGGGAGCATATTCCCAACCCTCTGTAAATTAAATAATTAAAATCCTAAATAATATTTAACTTCGGCCAAATAAGGGCAATCTCACCTTCATCCACATCACCAGACATATCAATCAACCATTCTTTGTGAACCTACAATATTGAAAAAACAAAATCATATGTAAAACAAAAACAGCACAAAGTATATCTATATTGATATAATAAAAAATTAAACTAAAAAATTAGTATCTATATATAATTAATATAGGCTAAGTCTCAAAATAATAGATATAAAATAATAAGTAAATTTAACTAGTACTTACAATTAACTAGTCTAAATAAGGCCATACAAACTTAATAATTCAGTTTTCATAACCCGGTTAGATCAAACCTTACAAATTTTTTTAAAAAATTTTATATATATTTACTATCTGGATAAATTTTTTAAAAAAATCTATAAAAAATTTTATATGTTTTTTATATATATAATTTTTTAAAAATAAAATTAAAAGCCAAGTTGCCAGGTCACTTTTGAAAATTTTATATTATGAAAACCAAATTATTAAGTTTGTATAGCCTAAATATAAACATTTAGGATTCCAAAGTTTGATTTGAGTTCAATTTAAATCAAACTTATAATACTCAAACTCAAACTCATTTTCAAGTCTGGTTTGGATCAGTCTGGAAGTTGCAAACATGTTTACATATGTTACAGCTGTTTTCATAATTCCTGGAACATCTGATAAAAATTAGCTAAATGATTTTTTGGCCAATCCAGTTAAGTTATAATAAATTCAATATGTAAAAATTGATATAATATGCATAATTTAAAATCAAGTGACTAATATATAGTAAGATTATGCATATCCCTTTTGACATCAATTTCGTGCAAAAGAACATTTAATTTCATACAAAATGATATTCAATTTTGTACAAAGTGACATTCAATTTTGTACAAATGATATTTAAATTTGTACAAAGTGACTTTCAAATCTGTACAAAATGACAATTAAAATAAGTCTGATTAAATTGCGATATTTCGTGATGCAGTAATCCAATATAGATAATTTTAGTATCATTCGAATTGTCCCATAGAGAGATTTGAATGTTATCAAAATCAGCTATATTGGATTACTACATCACAAGATATCGCAATTTAAAGAATCACTTTCAAATAAAATTATTAATACAGTCAAACCTCTCTATAATCACACACTTAGGATATAAAAATGTGTGTTTGTAGAGAAGTGTGACAGATATGGAGGTCAAATTTATTATACAGTCTGATCTCTTTATAGTTACCTCCTATATAAGCACATTTTATTTATAAACATATTTTTTAAAAAACAAATATAATAAATTTGACCTCTATATCTGTCACACCTCTCTACAATCACACATTTTTGTATCCCAAGTGTGTGATTATAGAGAGGTTTGACTGTATTTGTTTTTTAAAAAATATGTTTATAAATAAAATGTGCTTATATATGAGGTGACTATAAAGAGTTGATGGTACCAGGGCAGCCCCCAAAGTGCCAGTGACGTTGATCATGGCGCAGCTGCAGCCACAGCTAAATAATTTTAACTAATCAGGTAATTTGATATATATTAAGGTTTACAATGTTGATAATCGATTAATGTTTGCAGCTCTCGTGATTGAATTTTATTTATTAACACAAAAGTATTTGTTAGAAGCAAGTTCCAATTTTCAAATATTCGAATAAGTGTTCATCGAAATGTTGAAGTTGTTGCAATGGCAACAATATATTGCTAAAAATCTCAAAAAGTATAACTAGATCAGATTACAACTCTTTTTATAATTAAAATCTTATGATCTATTAGTCATTTGCTTTATAATTATTTAAAAACTCACGATTTATTCTATTATAGTGCTGTTAACTAGAAGCTACTAAAGACAATTGGAACACTAGAAGAAAATTAATAGTACTACTAGAACTTTCACTATTACAAATTTTCTTTCTACTAGAAAGCTAAAAATTTCTACTGGAAGCAAAAAATTAATAACACTAGATTCTATTAGCTTGTACTCTGAAATATTTTCAAGAATCTGCATTATAAGGCAAAATAGCACTTTATGAATTTTATTATAGATTTGATAAAGGGTGATGTGAAAAATACACCTTATTCTCAGTTTGGCATTAAACATGGCTCCCACAAAGAGGATGAGGAACCCAATTCAGGTTTTCATTTCAGTGTGATCGATTTATTCATTTTATAAGTACTTTAACCTTTTATTTTATCTTATATTTGTTTTTTGAGCTTTTTTACAGTATAAAATTTGGGCTAGTTATTAAAGCAAATATATGAATAACTATGGTTTTA